ATATTGATTTTTTAAAATCATGAAATTTTATCAGAAATTAAATTAAACCCTGAAAAAGTCCAGGGCTTGTTTAAAATTTGGAATTTAAAAGGCTTTTTTGGGGTACTTTTTATTAAGTCCTTTTATTAAAATATGTTTTTTGAATAACGTCGGACCCACTTTCTTTTTTTAAAGGGGGTCTGAATTTTGGGCTTAAAAATTTAGTCCCAATCCCCCCTTTTTCCAAAAAATAAAAAACATTTTCCCCTTATTCCCAAAAAAAAAAGGGTTCCTAAAGTGGGGAAAAAATACTTTTTTGTTTTAAAAAAAAACAAATTTTATTTTTTAATTAAAATAATCTTAATTGGGGAAATTTTATAAAATAATAAAACTAAAAAAGATTTTTTTTTGGCCTGAGGGGAAAATTTTGGGATTTTTTAAGTTTTTTTTTTGTATTTTATCTTTTTATGTTAATGACTTTTTTACATTTCCAAAAAACCCAAAATATTGTTATATTTATCTGGGGGAAGGTTCAAAAATTCATTTTCTTTTGGCCCTTTTTAAAAAATTTCTGGGCAAAACAGTGGGCTGTCTACAAAAATTCTGAATTTAAAAAGGAAAATTTTTTTCTTTGGGAGGGTTTGGTACCCCCCTGCCCAAAGGGAATTTTTTAAAATTTTTGGTAAAATTTTAACTTTAAGGTGATAAAGATGTTTAAAAATTAAAAATTTAGTGCTATTTATCGTGTTTATAGGAAAAATAAAAATTTAGGGATGTTGGGAAAGATGTTTAAAATTGTTTTTTGGTATTTTTAAATTTTTTTGCTGAATTCCCCAAAAAACGTTTTTTTTAGTTATTTTTTAAAAAATTATATCAAAAATTTTTTGTTACCTTTTGAAAAAAATTTTTTTAATTCTTTTCTCTCTTGTTTTTCTTTTCAACATTTTTAAATCAATAAGGAAAAAGTTTTTGGAACTAAACTATGGATTGGGTTTTTTTTCGATCCTTGAACCCCAAGAAATTTTTTTTTACATTTTTCTAACAAAATTAAAGTTTGACATAAATTTTAACGTTCAATTTGGTTTTATACTTTTTTTGTTTTTTAAAAAAACCCTGTAGTTTTTTATTAGTAAGCTGTCACTTACATGCTTTTGGGAAAAATTTGAAATTACTTGAAAAGGGGAAATCACAATTGTCATGTAGAAAAAATTTATTTTTTTTTGTTTATTTCAGTTTTTTAATTTTTCTTTTCCTGGTAAATACAAGATTTTGGGTTTGGGGAAAAAGAATTAAATTTTATGTATTGGAGTTATTTGCATTTTTTTACTTGTTTATTTTCAAAAAATCTTTTCCCTTCATACTGGGTTTAAAACAAGGGGCATGATGTTAGGCAACCCATCCAGCTTTCTTACAGGAAAAAGAAAATTGGTTTTTTCTAACAGACTGCCTGTTTGCCTGAAATAAAACACAAACAGGGGCATTCCCCCAAGGGTCTTCCCCCACCAGTAAAGCTGGAATGGGCCGGCCAAAATGGCCATTTTACAGTTTTATACTTTTGAATGGTGTTTAAAGTAAAACTCAATTTAAACAAACAAAAATTTTAAAATAAACCCCAAATTGTTTCTTTGAAAAAAATATTACCCTTTAAAAACCATCTAAAATTTAAAACTGGTTTTAAAAAAAATATTATTTGGTATATATTTTAACCCCAATTTGTAATTTTATTTTTTTGGAATTAAATTTTTGTCTGGGAAAAAAATCAACAAATTAGTCAATTTTTAGTATTAAAGTTTTTGTTCATACAGACAGTTTTTTACCCTGGAAATGGGTGAAAAACATAAATTATTGATTGGCCCGACAATTTGTGCAACAATTTTTGGGTTTATTGAAATTTAACAAAGCAAGAAAAAGGAAAAACAAATTTCACCACAGGGGGTCATTTTGAATATAAAATAGATTTCAAAAAGCAGAAAAAATTATTGGAAAAAAGGCGGGTTTAAAAGTTGTTTTTAAAAATTTTTGAGTTTCAAAATTTCCCTGTTTTATTTTATTTTTCCCCCCTGGAAAAATTATATTTAATCCCCAAAATTTTTTCCATTTTTTTCCCCCGGTAGATGCGTTTAATTTTTTTTTTGGAAAATGGCTAGTTTTCTAATTAAAATTTTTAATTTAAAAAAAACTGAATTTAAAAAAAAGGATTTGACAGCTGTAAATCAGCCCCAAGGTTTAAAAAAGAACCTGAGATTATAACAAAGAAAAAAAACACAAAGAATAATATCCCAAAAAAAAAATGAAAAACAAAGACCTTTCTTTTAGGCGAAGATACAACAGTTTCGTGAAAGGGCCCAATATTTTTCTAGAGCTTTTTCAAATAATAATTGGAAAAATTTAGTTTGTTTTGAAAAATATTTTTAAAATTTAAAATTTAAACTGAAATATCAATGGACTCTGATAAGGGGGTTGGGGTAATCATCAGGGAAAAGATAGTGGGAATGTATATAGTCTTTAGAAAACAAAAATGGGAAAAAAGAAATCTAGTATTGCTTAATAGTACCCATTGAATCTCAAAGTTGGAAGATTTTTTTTAAATGATGGGGAATTTTGAGTAATAGCCTTGACTAAAAAAAGAAACTGAAAAAGAAAAAATTTGGGAAATAGAAAAAGGGAGTTTCTTAATTAAAAAAGGTTGGAATGTCCCTTTAACGTTGAATTTGTAATTTGGGAAAATGTTTTTGTAGTTATTGTTTGGGCTTCAGGGTTTTCAAATATTATCATAAAGAAATTTATTGGTCAGTTGTCTTATACTTATCTGCCAAATGAAACAAGGGTTTAAATTTCTTTTTTTAAAACTGTTTTTATACTTTTCAGAGACAAGTCAGCATTATTTTTGTTTGTTGAAACATGGAAGTAAAAAATGTTCTTGTGAAAATTTTATAAGCCTTTTGGTAGAGAGTATATGAGGGGCCCAAAATCCTCAAAGGCTCAAAAAACAATAGGATTTTTAAATACAACACCAATTAAAAAAAGATTACAGACAAAACTTAAATTTTGAAGGCCTTTCTAATTTTTTTGATTTCGGAAACCTTATGTCTAGATGTAAGGGTAGGACATTTTATTTTGAAAATCTTGTCGGCTGATTTTTTCAGAAACCCCCCAAAAAAAGACAAGTTTAAAAGATAAAACCAAAATTAAAGTCCTGATAATGGGTGTAATGAAAAGAAATTCCCGAACAATTTTGGGGAGGGCTAAAAGGGAAAAATTTTGTAGTAAAATGGGGTTTAAAAAAGATGGGTTTAAAAACCTTCAGGAGACCCCAAAATTTGGTTTTGTTGAAACCCCAATTTTCCGAAAATGTTATGTACAGTATTTAAAAATTTCTCTAATTAGGGGGGAAGGTATTTGTTGCAGCCGGAAAAAGCTTTGTCATAAGTACCAAAAAAGAATTTAATTTGTGTATTTTTAAATTTTAAAAAAAACCCCAAAAAAAAAAACAATTACACTTTAAAAGAACATGTATTAAAAACATTAATTACCACAAATGTAAAATATAATCTAGATAAGGGATCTAGCTGAAACATCTGCAATTTAAAAAATTTTAAAACTAAGTTAAATGTTTTTGTGGCTAAAAAGTTTTTTAATTTTTTTTTTAATTTTAAAAATTATGGGAAAATTTACAAAAATTTAGGGGTCTTTTTTACACCAAAAATTTTGTTTGTTAATATTTTTCCCCTGTATTCAAAAAAAAGGGTTTAGATGGGGACATGGGTTAAATTAATATTCAGAATTTTTCATGCATGCCACAGTTCTCTTTTCATGAAGCAAATCATGCCTATCATCTGCAAGGGTTTACATGTTAGTGTCTTGGGTTTAAATTTCATCAAAAAGCAATGAGGGCAGGTGTTTCCCAAATTTTTTTGCAAATTTATTTGGGAAATTGGCACACGTCACAACCCCCAAAAACCCTTAAAACCGATCAGACTTTGAAGTGGGGATAAAAATGGAGAACAGTTCCTTTTGGGGTTTTATGTTTTTGGGGGATAAAAAAATTTATTGTACGGGTTAAAAAATGGCACTTTTATCAACAATTTAAAGGGTAACATCATTATTAGTTAAAAAAGAAGATTAAATATGTTGTTATTTGGGGCCAAGTTTTAATGATAAATTGAAAATTTTTGGGTTTGCAACATAACATATAACAAAATTAACATTGATTTAAAATGGGCAGAAGTAGGGTTTTTGTATGAAAAAATGGCTATCATGATTAGGTAAAAAAAGGGGAAAAGGAAAAAAGATAATCCCCTTAAATTTTTGAAATTGATCAAAAGAAAAACTCACAGTGTACTGGAAAATCCATTAGAGTTGGGTTTTTTTTGGGTGTTTGTTGGAAAATGTTGTTTAGACCGTGGGGGGAGAATTACCCTACTTGAGGAAAATCAGGACCCTTTTTTATATTTTAAAATTTTAATAAGAAAATAAAAAATAAAGTCATACTATTTAAAAACATTAATTTCACAAGATACCGAATTTAAAATTTTTTTTTAGCAAAAAAAAAAAATGTTCCTGTTTAACTAAAAAATTTCACCCCCTAACCCCATTTTACTGTACATAGGAAAAAAACAAGGGAAGGGGGAGCTGAATTTTAGTATTTAAAAAGCCTTTCCCACACTTCTTTAATTGACTATGGGTTCCAAATTTTTTATAACTTAATAAAACATAAATTAGCACTTTTTTTACCATCAATTAGAAATTTCAAAAAGGGTTGACTGATTTGCCACAGGATGTTTTGTTGTTTGGTTTTTTTCAAAGTGGTAGTAAATTTCAAACCACAAGTTATGTCACTCATGGTTTTCGATATGTGACATGATACAAGGTAAATTATGTTATTATTCAGCATTTTTGCCATCAGTCTCGCAGGCCCACTGTTCAGCTTTTATGTACATTCCATGCTATATAATATAAATCAAGGATTGGTGAATCTGCATGGTTAAGTGTGTGTGTGTGTGTGTTTAACATTGATGGATTTATGATAAAGTTTGAGTGATAGGTAATTAGATTGTTTTTGTTGTTTTTCTTGTACAATTTCTGTAATATTTTTTGACAATTTGGCAACAGTTGGTATAGTATTTGAAAATAGAAATATAATGAATTTCAATTCCAAAATGATAGTATTGATTACTTCTTTTTGGACACAAAATTCAGCAAATGAAATGATAATGACAGCAAATTATGATCAAATCAACATTTTTTAACCCTAGCGAAAATTTCATGATTGAAACATGTCTTAACATGTTTTAAACACGTTCTTACATGTTATTTCGAAATGTCTGAACATGTTTTGAACATGTTTTAAACATGTTTAAACATGCACGTGAAATGGCACCATGATCTAACAGGATCAGTCAACAATCGTGATTAGTCATGTTTGATGATCAAAAAAAGAGTATCATGGTCAATCACATTTTGACATGTTTTTGTTCTATCCAGCTATCATGTTTTAGACATGTTTGAAAATGTTCACAGAACATGTTTTAATATGGTTGATCATGTAACTACTACTTTACTGTCAAACACATCTAAACATGATTAAAAATGTTCCCAAAACATGATGGAACATATTTAAACATTCACATTAAATGGCACCACGATCCAAACACATCTAAACATGTTTAAACATATACAAATAAAGATTCCATAACATGGTCGAACATGTTAATATATCCAAATCAAGGGGTCATTTGACATTTTCAAACATGTTCAAACATTTTCAAAATAACAAAGCTGACATTGTTTTACATCAGCACAGGTCAACAGACAAAGGCAATCACAAAAGTTCATCTCGAGTACGCTCAGATGAGGTAAAACTTAAATTACAACTTTTGAGATCAGAACCCTGGACACAATTCTTTTTTTATTTCTTTTCTTTCTTTTTTTTCAGCACAAAAGTAATTTTCATTATGTCAATACTTGATTTACATTGTCACTTTGAATACTAACTGCTTCACATTTTGTGTCTTAATGACCACTTCCTGATATCAAAATGTTTCTGAACGAGCTTGCTGATTAAGTTAAATTTGGCAGGATCAAACTTGGTCTTTGTTGGCCTTTTTACCAGTTGCACTATGGTTTTGAATTTCTTCGATGGTGAAGAACATACCTCTCCAGGAATCCTCCAGATGATCAAATGTTGCAAACCTGCCAAAAGAAACACTGACTTTGAATAAGCAAAATAAATCATTTTATTTTTGTTCTTATCCGGACTTGGTGTTATCCGAAAAAATGTTAATAAATGACAAAAAAACTTAATAATTTAACAGTTAAAATCTCTTTTTTAAGTTAAGTTTCATTCATTTATAAGTGGAAATTTTGTGGCTATGAGAATTTAAATAATTTCCTCCAAAATTTCCAGATATATGGTCCATTGTTCCTTAAAAACCATTTCGGCCAAGATGCCAAATTTTCGGTCGGCCGTCCGGACCGATAACTTTCCAGAAGACTGGCATTTTGCTAGGTTTTTTGGATGACCTTTTGAATTTTAATTGAAAGCAAGAGCAATCTTATTTTAATTATCAAGACTGTCCTTGTGCTCGGAAGCATGCGTGCAGATGAAGAACTTACATGCGATGGGTATAGCAGGATACCATTTCTCCTGGAACTTGGAAAATGTTCTTGTCCCAGGCATTGACCCTCCCCGATCAGCGGCAGTGCTGACAAACGACCAGTTGTTCGCCAAAGTCCAATAAACAAGCACTTTCATTTTTCAGCCATTTTGATTTTTCCCTCGTTTAAAACTAACCGCACATGTATTCGTGTAATCTATTGGTTGCTAAATATAAACTTTGGGTTAGGTGGCGCTGAAGGAAACGTGATTTTCTAAACCGGAAGTATAGAAAGATAACACTTGAAAAACTGTAAACATGCGATTTTGGTGGATTTCGAGGTTTTCAGAAGCTGAAGAAGGTAAATGTCATTATATATAACAATATGTTTTGTTCTGACACCACGGTAAGTGCTACAACCCGTTTGCCAGCTGTATATTTATTATTAGAATAACATCCGGAAAAGTCCGTAACATCCGTATTTTAGCCAGCCTCCAGGATCATTTTTGTGAATCACGTAAATCCGTTTAGATTTCTGAGGGTATAGGTTGCCTCTTATCTCGAGTGAGAACTGAAAGAACTCTATTGTTCATTTGATTTTATAAACAGGTGATGTTTTTGTCCGTTTCGTTAAATTCAAAAAAGTTTTTTTTGTGCATTATGAGCGATTGTGTGCATTACGCACCTTGGTATGAATCAACGCTTCTGATTGGTCGAACAAGTTGTGATTGTCGAATCAGATTTTAGAAAACAAGTGACCGGCTAGTTTGTACTTCCGTAAAAAACAACAACAAAAAAAATCACATCATGAAGTTTCTGCCCGCGAGGCAAAATACCAAAGACCTAGAGAAACAAAGCAATGTTGCAAATATTTGGCGATTGCCGTCCTTGAATGAAATTAATTCCGAGGTGTTATTATGGGGATATTTGGCTACGGAAACATGGTAATTCGGCGGCACAAATCGACCCGCACGAAGTACCCAGACTATACCCAGAATAGATACACCCAAATAAAAGGCAAATATAGTAATACTCATCTTTGTTTGCCTAAAATATATATTTTTGTTATGAGAAAATAAATTATTTTTATGAAATAACTTGAATAAGCCGGCTGTAACTTTCTTTCATTTATCGTATAAGTACCTAATCTCACACCCAACCTATTCTCAAACCCTTCATTCATGTGCTGTTATTTTTTTACTAGGAGTGACTATGATGTCCTGAACATGTGTGCATAAAAGCTTAGTTTCTGACAGACATATGTGCTGATGTCAAATGAAAACAGTGCATTGGAACAAATATTTACATAACATATTTTATTACTTAGCGTAATTTCATACAAATTGCTATTACTTTTGTAAGTCCCATAAATACACCATTAACTATTTGTGAAAATGAATATTATAAACAAAAATAACTTAAAGCAGGTACCTGCATTGTGTAAGGTACTTAATTGTCATGTGATAGTCATATAACAATCACTTCATTGGCTAAACTAAACAGTAGAATTTTAGAGATACTTGAAGGGGTTTGAGATTAGGTTCTTTATTTTAAGAGGTCATGTCAGTTTTAAAACAGAGGGTTGTGCTTTTCCAAAATGGAAATAGAGCTTTTTTAATTGTTGAAATTCAGTCAAATTTTACAGAAATGTTACATAAAGATTAAAAAGTGTACATATGTAACAATTTTTATAAAGATATATTTTATTTACACTAAAAGACCTCTTGAATGCTTAGGGGTTTGAGAACTGGTTAGTCCACGATACATTTTTTCGGGCCCGTACGGCTAGCCAAAAGTTCTAGCCGTACGTGAGTCACGTACGACTAGCCAGTACACACTGTATTGGCTAGCCGTACAGCACTTTTCAAAAATATATGGAAGGCGAAAGTGCATATGTATATTATGACTTAAAGTGAGAATTTTAGTCAAGAATGTTTACTTTTTAGAGATTAATCGACACGTTGGCTACAGTAAAGAATGTACTTTGTCCTCTCAAGACGTCGAGAAAAAATAGCGTTTGGTTGCAGTTACATAACATCAATTTAAATAGTTTACAAAATTTTGATGATAATCCTTTTTTGTTTCATTAAGTTTAATTTTTAAATTGAAAAAAAAAAAACACCAAAAATAATTGTTGTTGGGCACTGATAATTGCGTCAATTACCGTCTGTATAGAAGTTTGTCCATCGTCGATCATTAAGGAAAGTTTACATTATTAAATTATTTTTCTTTTTCACCGTTTTTTCTTTTTTTTTTTATTTACATGTATTTATTTATTCCCCTCCAATCATTATTTATTTGATCCATGTGCTTAACAGATTTAACAATTCATCTTTCATACAAATCATAAGCATGAACATTAAGGACGATATAACATGCAACTTTGACACTTAATTTTATTAAGCTAGATTATACAACGCTTACTCGTATTCATTTTTTTGTGCAAAATTGCGGAGCATCTTTATTGAAGTGAACAAACTAGGACAAATGCGGAGATTTGATTAAAATCGTCATTTAAAGACACAAAATAACATATGCATTTTCGACTTCCATTTATTTTTGAAAAGTGCCGTACGGCTAGCCAATACAGTTTGTCCAGGCTAGTCGTACGTGACTCACGTACGGATAGAACTTTTGGCTAGCCGTACGGGCCCGTACAGCTAGCCACTTCCTTTTAAGAAAATTAACTTGTGACATTTGATTTGCTGATCTAGATTCATTATTTAATTGCAATTTAAGATAAAGATATGATAATATTTGTTGTCTACATTTAAATTTTTAGGGTATAATTTTTTTGTTATTTCATACAAGTGTCCATCATATTATTTTTTTTTAATTTAATTTTATAAGGACACCTTTTAGCAGTAGCAAAAAATCTACAAGGTTGAGCACCTGTTACTTTGTGATATTTTGCATGTTTAGAGAGTAGCTAAAGCAGAGACGGTATTCCTTTAGCCTGTATATTTGATTTTTGCCAGAGGGACGAAATGTGTTGTTTTGGGTCTCCGTCCACTGTAGATTTTGGGCTTCAACAGAATGAATTGCATTTTTTTAACTGCCTGCCTAATGCAGATGGGATAATTTCTTTGTAGATTTGCAATCTTATGTCATATACATTCTCAACAAAATGTGTTTTCTTTTTCCAGGTTGTGTAGTTTGGTATCAGAATAGATTGACGTATTGCTTGTAGGACATTGACGGCTGAGGAACTTGAAATTAACTGTAGAGTGCTACCTTTAACATGTATGAGTGTGACAATTTCTATGACCATGAAAATACAAGGAAGAGTAATTCGGACAAGTTAACAGATCTGTATATCTGAACTAAAAGTACTGAAATGATTGCTGATGCAAACCCTGTTGGTTAGATTTTCTATCAAGAGTTTGTCCAAATAATACTGGTTAACTTATGTCAGGTGATGAAAAACCCTCTGGCACTGAATATTCAA